CCAAGAATTACCTTTGCATCTCCTAGGTATTTCATATCAAACTTCTTGCTTAAACAATCTTTTACATGATTAATTGTTTCCAAACTAGGACACATAATCAACATATCATCAACATATAATAGCAAGAATATGGGATGCTCACATGCTATTTTAAAATACAAACAATGATCAAAATTGCTTCTATTAAATTTCAAAGATTTCATGCATTCATCAAACTTTATGTTCCATTGCCTAGGGGACTGTTTCAGTCCATAAAGGGATTTCTTTAAAAGACACACATGATTAGGATTAGTTTTATCAAAGAAGCCTTCCGGCTGTTTCATGTAAATCCTTTCATACAAATCACCATGTAAAAATGCAGTTTTTACATCTAATTGTTTCAATTCCCAATTAAAATAGGCAACCAAAGTAAGCATGAGTCTTATAGTAGAATATTTAACAACATGAGCAAAAATTTCATTGTAATCTATTCCCTCCTTTTGTGTAAACCCCTTAGCAACTAATCTTGCTTTAAATCTAACTCCATTTTCATCTTGTTTTACTTTGTACAGCCATTTACAATCAACAACAGAACTGTTAGCTAACTTTGGCACCAAAATCCAGGTTTTATTCTCCTTTAAAGACTTCATTTCTTCATTCATTGCATTAACCCACTCATTTCTTTGTTTTGATTTCATAGCTTCACTATATGACCTTGGTTCATTACCATCTAATGATTCAAACACATTATAAGCTAAGGAGATAACATCAACATCAAAATCATCTAACCTAGGGGGCTGTCTTACATTTCGCCTAACTCTATCCCTAGCAAGTTGATAATTTTCCAGATTTTGATCAATATTTTCAGCAATTCCAGATTCCATTCTCTCATTAACATCATCAGAACTGATCTCCAGACCAGTCTCTGAATTTCCAGAATTAAAATCTGGATCAGAACTGGTTGTTCTGGTATCAGTTCTATTTGAGGCACTGTAATCAAGTAATTCAGCCTCTAAATTGGCTAAATTATAATGATTTTGCTCCACCTCATTCTGAGTATCATTAGGACCATTAACAGCAGTATTTTCATCATTTAAAGTCTGATTTTGCTTCAAACAGGGCATTTCATTCTCATTAAATGCTACATCTCGACTAACAAAAGTTTTGAAACCTGGTTTAGTGTTTAACCATAGCCTATATCCCTTAACACCCTCGGGATACCCTAGGAACACACACTTCTCAGCCCTAGGTTCAAGTTTATCATTGAAAACACGTATAAAAGCAGAACAGCCAAATACTTTCAGGTTTGAAAAATCAATTCTCTTTCCACTCCACCTAAATTCAGGACATTCACCTTTCAAAGGCACTGAAGGTGATCTGTTAATTAAATAGGCTGCTGTAAGAACAGCCTCACCCCAAAAGCTCTTGGATAAACCCGAGGAAGCAAGCAAGCTTCGAACTCTTTCTAATAGAGTTCGGTTCATCCTCTCAGCCACCCCATTTTGTTGAGGTGTATAAGGGGCTGTTTTATGTCGCTTTATTCCATTTTCAATGCAAAAGCTATCAAACCAAGTATTGCAATATTCTAAGCCATTGTCAGTTCTCAAACACTTAATCTTCTTACCCGTTTGATTTTCAATAGAAATTTTCCAATTTTTAAAAATTTCAAACACATCAGACTTTTGTTTCATTAAAAATACCCAAACTTTCCTTGAAAAATCATCAATTATAGTAAAAAAATATCTTCTACCACCATGTGTGGGTTCACTAGCTGGTCCCCACACATCTGAGTGAAGATATTCAAGGATATCTTTTGAAAAAATCCTACTTTCAGTAGGTTTTTGAGGAAAAGTAACTTTATGATGCTTTCCATATATGCAATTGTCACAAAATGGCACATTTGAGAAATTTCCAGCACCTAAACAACCAGTTTTATGCAAAATCTCCAATCCTCTATTACTCAAATGACCTAATCTCCTATGCCACAACTCAGTGCTGTCATGGACAACATTCACACAAGCATCAGATTCACAAATAGGCACAGCAGACACAATATAGAGATTATTTCTCAAATCAGCCTTGAAAACTACTAAAGAACCCTTAGTTATTTTCATAAAATCCATTCCCCATTTTCCTTCTAGTCCTAAAGAAGACAAACCAGCACAAGAAAGCAAGTTATTTGACAGATTAGGGACATGTCTCACATTGCACAGCTTTAAAACATTTCCAGATTTAAATTTCAGCACAACAGTCCCTATTCCTTTAACACTGCAAACCCTATTATCAGCCATAGTCACATTACAGTTTAAAAGGGTTTTATAATCACTGAAAAATTCCTTAAAAGGAGTCATGTGATAGGTGCAAGCTGAATCTAATAACCATTCATTCTTATTAAAAGCAGTCACATTGGAACATTCAGCAGTAACAGCAAACACTTCACCTAAGCTATCATCATGAGAAATCAAATTTACTTGTTCATTTGAAGAGGTATTAATAGTGGGTGTTCCATTTCTAAAGTTATTGTTGTTGTTATTCAAGTTTCTATTCTTCTTAGGACAATTCCTAATGAAATGTGAAGTGTCACCACAATTAAAACACCGTTTAACATACTTTGAAAGGGTTTGAGATCTATTCCTAGACTTACTCCTAGACTTCTTCTTATATTGACTATTGTAGGAGTTATTCCATTGCTTATTGTTATTTGAAAAAGAGCCATTTTTATTCGGTCTAAAGGGAGATCTACCCCTAACATGCATCACCTCACCATGTGTATGTTTATTAGCTTTACTTAGTTTCAAATCCACTTCTTTACTTTTTAGACCATTTACCACAACATCTAGAGTAATTACATCCCTACCATATTTTATAGCTGATTTTACATCTGAATATGTACTAGGGATTGCATTTAACATAACAATAGAGCTGTAATCATCTATGTTTTTATCCCCTGTAAGTTTTATATCTTGAATTAACTTTGAAAAAACATCTAAATTTTCATCTATTGTCTTTGAAAGATCTAATTTGAAACTAAAGAATTGTTCTAACAAATGTATCCTATTTGGAAGTGAAGTTTCAGTATACATGTTATTTAATTTGTCCCACAAATCCTCAGCTGAACCATAAGTACCTATTTTTCTAATTACATGGTCAGCTAGGTTTAAAATAATGCACGAAGATGCAAGTTCATCAAGTTCAAACCTTTCTTCAAGAGAAAGGTCTGTTGCTTGATCAGGTTCAACTGCTTTTATCAATCTTTGAGTTACAAGAACACTTCTCATCTTTTGTTTCCAAATTGCAAAATCAGATTTTCCATCAAAAGGTTGTATATTAAAAAATGCTTGACTAGCCATGATTTTTAAAATGAAGAGGAAAAACAATCTGTTTTAAGAAAAAAAGACACAAGAACAGGCCAAATTTCACAAGAAAAACTACTGGTCCTAAGAACAGATTCACTGGATCGCTTTAAAAACAGATTTATTGTTTATAAAATCTCAACAAAAATATCCACCAGATAAGAATGCTCCAGAACAGAGAAAAAACTGAATAGTAACTAATCCAAGGGTTAGTTTCTTGAGAAAACTAACTTAGGAGCAGTTAATATTTCATAACACACAACCAGCTTTACACAAACTGCTCTAACTAACACTTTAACTGTCACAATAACCTCAAACAGCCACACCTATCACAGAAACAGCCACTTAGCACAAAAACAGCCACTTAACAAACTCAAATCGCCACACTTAGTCACCCCAAAACTGAAATCTCACAAAAATATGTGACAGGGTTAGGAATGTTACCCACTCCAAGCTCCGCAACTATTCTTTGACTTTCTTTTCGTAATTCAAGACCTCCAACCTGTAAAATCCTTCCAACTGCGCACTTAATACACAAATTAGTAAAGTTTGGATGAATCAATCAACAAGGAACTACCCAAATCAACCAAACAAGGATGATTTCAAGTCCTAATCTCCTACAGGCCTATCTTAGTCCTTAATCAAGGAGATCTAAACTTTACAGAAGTGAAAACACCATAAAAATTCAGTTTTCACTTCGACAGAACAGTAAACAACCAAGACTTCGAAAAACTTGAAATTATTTACACAAAACCTTCGGATTTTACAGAGAGAACTAGGCGTTCACTCCAGGAACTCGAAAATCACGATTCCAGTAAACTAGCAAGCCCTAACCAGCTCTGATACCACTTGTAATCAAAATTTAGGACCTAATACTTGTAGTTTACAACTAATCGAATACATACGAAACAAGAAACATCGAATCTTTTATATACTTTGTTAATCGAAGGAGTCCGGACTCAGTTTACCCAATATTTCAACCGACTAGCAACACTTACACACAACCTCGACCCAAACACTACCGACATCCACAGAAACGCACAATCAGCGCGATTAACAACCTAATCGAAAGAAATCTCAAGATTCTAAGCCTAAATCATCGCGGACAATCAATTACACCACGAACAGCCCATAAACATAGAATCGAGAAATCAAACCGAAGAACAGCTCTAGAACAAGCTGTAATACAACCACGGTGGATGAACTTCAAGTTTCGATGGCCAAACTCGCCGGAATGCACCAGACAGATCGATAGCATTCGTCGGGAAAACTAGGGCTCCAGAGAGTGAATATCGCGATGTGAAGGAGTGAGGATTAATCTGTCCAGTGAACCGGGAAGCAGGGTATATATATATCAGACCCCTTGGACCGGTTTGAGGGCGGTCCAGGGCGGTTCAGGCCAACCGAACCCATCCTCCAATTCATCACTCAATCGGGTCGAACCGCGGGCACGGGATCCGGGTTTCGATAGGTCGGGTCGGGTCGAAGTGTAATATGCACAAAACATCACAAAAGAAATTAAGAATCTGAAATTTATTCTCTGTTCCTACCGATGGATGTAGCCAATATGTTGTTGGTGAATCATATAAATTTATGTCTTTTATACGTGTTTTTGTTTAATCATCAACCTTAATCCGTCGTAACAAAATGTGCAGTTAAAAATAATGTAATAATAATTTTACTTTTGTCTTTTGGGATAAAAGTAATAATATGATAATAAAACAAAAGTATTTGTAAAAATAAAAAATAAAAAAAAAATAAACAGAGTATTTAATGTAAGAGTTATTTTGTAATTGAACAAATAGAAATAGTGAACAAATGAATATTCGGCGAACCAGGCGGAGCGCAACCAACGGACAAAACCGCGCCGTGGTACGGATTACCCGGCAGCAATCCGCTCCGCGCCTATCCATCCGAAATTCGTATTTCCACGGCTTCGACACGCCCCGAGCATTGCTCCCAACATTTGCGCGTCGACATCGCTCAACACTCGGCGCATCAAATCGTACGCCTCTTCCAAGCAACCGCGGCGCGCAACGAGATCCACCAAACACGAATAATGCTCGATCCTCGGCGAAATCTTGTGTTTTTCGATCATATCGCGGAAGCATTCGAACCCCTCCGCAGTCAATCCGGTGTGGCTACACGCGAAGAGAAGAGACACAAACGTTACGTCGTTTGGCTTTAGCCCCTCATCGTCCATCTTCGCATACAACGCGATCGCTTCGATCGCACGCCCGTGCTTCCCGTAGCTATCGATCAACGACGTCCATGAAACGACATTTTTTTTATCCATTTCGTCGAAGGCGCGCCGTGCGCATTCGATTGCGCCCGATTTCGAGTACATGTTGATTAGGGCATTGCCTATCGCAACGTCTTCGCGTCGGTTTTGAGATTTCACGGCGTGAGAATGCAGCGACTTTCCGAGACTCAGCGACGCTGTTTTCGCGCATTTGTCGAGCATCGAACATAGTAGCATCCCGTCGATCGCCGCGGAGTTTTGAATTTCCTTAAAATAACGAAGCGCCGTGGCGTAATTCGTCGCTTTGATCAATGCCGTGCATGCTACGACGTCTTTTTCCGGAGCACCGTCGTAAACCCGATTCGCGCATGATGTGCTTCGATTTTTTACGTAAGCATCGACTAAAGATGCTGTTAGAAATCTGTTCGATCCGAACCCGAAATGGATAATCAATCCATGAACGATTCTAACTTCGGCAATCCCGATCCCGTTTTTTCTGACGGCGGATTTTAGCAAGCTTCCGAAGGTGAAGGTGTCGGGCAAAATTCCGTCGATCAGCATTCGCCGGAAAATTGAAGCGGCGGCGGCGCTTAGCCCTTGTTCGGCGAATCCTCCAATCATCGAATTCCAAGAAACTAAATCCCTCGTCTCCATCGAATCGAAAACTTGGCGAGCGTCGTCCATCGTCGTCCCGCATTTCGAATACAAATCCACCAATGCACTCTGGACATACACATTGTTTACAAACCTAGTCTTCCAAACAAAGCCATGGATCTGCTTCCCCCATTGAAGACACTGCAACTGAGTGCAGACATACAACGCGATCCCGTAAGTGTACTGATTCGCTTTCACGCCATGGCAGCGCATCGCCGAGAAGATCTTCGAAGCTTTGTCGTAATCCCCAATCCGAGAATATCCAGAAATCAATGCCGTCCAAGTGACCACGTCTCTTTCAGACATTTTGTCGAACAGCTTCTGCGCATTCTCCATTTCACGTAGCTTAGAGTAACGTATGATCAGACTCGTCCTCAAACAGGTGTCGATTTGCAGCCCGTCGGTGATTATCCGGCCGTGGACCGCCCGGACGGAGCTTCTCCACTTCGTATCGGAGCATTGCCGGAGAATCCTTGAGTAAAGAGCTCCGAGATTTCCCGAATGGCGAAGTGAGTCGATGATGACTGAATTCATGGATGCTAATTGATGAACTGCATATGATCCCAGGTGTTTTTATCATCTTGTGCTCCGATTGTTGTCACGAATTCTTGAGAGGAATCGGAAAAATCTCATCAGCTGCGAAATTGATTTCTAGGGTTTTGAATTGGGGATTTGGCTGAAATTCAATTTATATAAATTATTTAATTTTAATATATATATACACATTTTTTTTTCCTTATGTATATACATTTGGTATTTTGACTGCGTATAAAGAAAGCTTTCCGCTCCAACTCGAAACCCTATCGGCGATCTCCGGTAGGATCATGGACAGCTGGGATCCGACAACGAAGTCGGTTTTGACGCAAATTCCTCTGCTCTCGGTGAAGGCCGGGCCACGCGACGGCGCCGCCTGGACGCAGCGGCTCAAGGAGGAGTACAAGGCGTTGATCGCCTACACCTCCATGAACAAGTCCAAGGACAACGATTGGTTCCGGATCTCCGCCGCGAATCCGGAGGGGACTCGATGGACTGGAAAGTGTTGGTACGTCCACAATTTACTCAAATACGAGTTCGATTTGCAGTTCGATATTCCCGTTACCTATCCCGCCACCGCGCCGGAGCTCGAGTTGCCGCAGCTCGATGGGAAGACACAGAAGGTCTGTTCCTCTCGCCATCCAATTTGGTATTCATTTTTCCTATGTCTGGATTGCCGATTTTTGTCCTGTTTTCCCGTGATTAGATGTATAGAGGAGGGAAGATATGCTTGACGGTGCATTTCAAGCCGCTGTGGGCGAAAAATTGGTAATTCTTGCCTTCGAATTAGATGCAAAAATTGATCCTGAAAATCAGTGTTCTTATGCTTCTTCATAGTTAACCTGTTATTTGATTGTGCTTTGATTGATACCATCGTGTGGGACATATGTAGAAATCTGTAAATCTGTGGAACATTGAAACATTTAGTTGGATATCGTAGACTTTTCTTTGGAGCTAAGTTGTTAATGGTGATGTATCTATTCCATCTCATATTCTCATAGGAAGCAAGCATAGTTTTAAGCATTTTGTCCTGTTGTTGATTGTTTCTTCTATGGATTAGGGCAGTGATGACAAAATTTCTCCACCGATTCCTTCTAGTCTAGCTCCCGGTCAGTCATTATACCTGGAGAAGTAGAAATAATTGGAATTCCCATCCCGCCCAAAATTCTAGGGATTTGTTGAGAGTTGCAATCGATTTGTAGATTCGGTTGGCTAATCCGTTTTAAATTTAAAAGTTTTTGAAATTTCTAATTGAATATTTTGAATGTGAGAGAGACCATTATAATGTAGGTGAAGTAGAATCTATTTTGGATTTGTAGTAAGATAGATGTATATACTATATGTGTGCTTCTGAGTACTGGGAAGTTTGCGAATAACTTCTACAGTAAGCCTACTGCATTGCTGAAAGACCCTCTGGAGTATTATTGTTCGTATCCGAGAAAAAACTTCTGCTTGGCATGTGCCTTGTTTTTTCATTGTTAAGGAAACTTCAGTTCTACTTGAACTGACTCTTTATCTTACCCCTCAAATTTCATATTAGCTGATGCTCCGTGCAATTTTGTGAAAATCTATGAAGCCATTCATTGGACGAAGCTTGTGCTTTGAGTTGGTAACATCGTTTGCGAGCCATTGCTTTACAATAAAGTTAGGGTTGTTTGTATGCGTTTTGTATTTGATATATATATATATATATTATGGAAAATGGGTATTTGTTTAGATAAAGGTTTTTGGAGTTTTGGAAAATTGCAGGAATAGTAAAAAATTGAACATTTGATGCGAGTAAAAAAATATATTTGATGAATAATGTCAAATTTTCAAATATCTGCACAACGCAACAACATGTATGGAGACAATTATTAGATCAGAGTAATGTTCCAGAGTTGCATATGGTTTGTTGATATCTTGAAACAAATTATCTGCTTAGTGCATATGGAAAACGACTGATTCTTATAGGATGATAGAAAATAAGGAGATCCATTTTTAACACTTTTTACGAAGAATGGCAGATATTAGTTTCATTTCATTGATCAGTGCTTTTATGATAGTCCCCAAATATTGTGTGATAAATGTTCAGATGATGATAATGATCGACACTAACAATATTCCGCCATGTGCCAAGTTATTTTTACTTTAATTGAAACTCAACTTGCAAATATTCGATGTAACTTAGTGTCATTCTCTGATAAGATTTAGAATAATATGAAGGCAACAAATGTATGTCTTAGAAATGGAAGTGATAAGTTGTGTCCTTATCTTTCTATATTCAACTAAATTAACATGAAGATTATACAATGCAAAATATTTCGATACACGAATGAATTAAGTCATCAATACCAAAATAAATTGATTTTTCCTTGCTATTTTATGCTGTGTGTAGTTGAAGATTCGATAGTTCTGGTGATGAAACATTAGCAATTAAACTTTACTTACAAATTGAGAAGCTCTCTACTTTTACAAGTCAAAACTTGGCAGGATGTTTTATTTTTGGGTATGAAATTGTTGTTCTAACTCGGGATCTGCTTTCTTGACCAGCCCTAGGTTCGGCATAGCTCATGCACTCTGTTTGGGACTGGCGCCATGGCTTGCAGCTGAAATCCCGATTCTTGTGGATTCGGGCATGATTAAGCACAAAGATGATACAGCAACAACCAGCGAATCTGCGTGACCCAAAACAGTGTTTTGCCCCTCGCCCTATTTATATTTAACTTTGAGCTGAACTACTGTTTTTACTTACAGATTTCATAAACATCGATGAACCTAAATGCCCGAATCTTGAGATGTTATTTAATATACAATGGCTGACAGTTCTTTAGGAAAAAAAAATTTCTCATCTTTAGACGCATTTATATTCCATCATCTTAAATTAGTATTCGAAATTATATTCTTTTTCGAATTTATATAGATCCAAGTAGAGAATGTAGTTGTATTATATTAATATGTATATTGTAGTATCGATTTCTACTTCATATGTTGTGGTTTATATTTTGTGAAGTCACCCAAAAATGAGAATGGAACATTTAGGATATGCAAGCAATGCAAGAAGAGATCTTTTTGCAATAAAAAGATGTGGCAGAAACAACACATGAAATCTACTGAAACAACCTCCATCACAACTCACAGTTCCTCTTATCTTATCATAGATGTGATCATCATCAGATCAACGGCCTGGATTCATCCGGCGCCGAGGTCCGTGGAGCTTGACTGGTACGCTGCGCCAACCCTATTGGACTAACCATCCATCTCCATCTTCGAATTTCAATCAATTTATTGTTTAATGATCTAATCTGGCTTTGGTTTCAGTCAATTTTACTATGTAATCATCTGTGGGGCAGAGGAGGAGTTGTAATTTGGTGAAAAGATCAAACCTTGAAATGAAGCTCGTGGCTATGGCGATCGCGTGTGGATAAAACGTGCCCTACATTAGCCAATCGCGTTTCAGAGATATCCAACCAAACCCCCTTTTGATTCTTTTCTCTCTCTCTTTCTATTTCTCCGCCACGAAATTAAAGTATTCTGTCAGTCCCACGCTGCCCACCTGTGGCGATTCCCATTTCCCCCAATTCGTCGAACCCTAAATTTTTGAGACGCTCGGAATTGAGCGAGACTGAAGCCACCGGATTCTGATTTGGTTGGTGAGTTCTTCGGGGATTTGGATTCAGTCGATTAGGGATTTGGATTTAGGGTTGCGGAATTCGACCGAGAATGGCGGTTTCGAGTGCGTTCGTTGGTGCGAAGCTCGAGGCGTTGCTGGTGAGCAATACGGCGGCGGCGGCGTCCGCCACCGCCGCCGCATCCTCGCCGGCGCAGGCTGGCTTGCTCTGCGTGCCGATTGCTGCTCGGTCAAAGCGGAACCCCGCCGTGTTGAGGAGGAATTGGGGAATCATCAAGTGCGACGCCGCGCCGGATACTTTGATCCCGTCGGAGAAACTGGACGCCGCCAGTGCAACCTCCGCCTCCGCCTCCAGCCTCTCCGCCCTAGAGCAGCTGAAAACCTCCGCCGCCGACCGTAAGTCCTAATTCCCTCTAATTTCACCGTAATTGTGGATTGTGTTGAGCATATCTCCTAAATTAGGGTTTGGTAGATTTACTATTTGGAATTGTGACGAACACACGCCCAACACACACAATCTGCCATTAATTCCGTGAAATCATTGAACAAATAATCTACTGTTCATCATAATTTTAGATATAGAAATGTTCCGTTCTTCAAATTCCCCATGAGATCATTGAACAACGAATCTGCTGTTCTTCAAATTCTCCATGAAATCATTGAATCTGCTGTTCTTCGTAATTTTAGATACAGAGCTGTTCTGTTCTTCAAACTCCTTATGAAATCTTTGAATCTGCTGTTCTTAGTAATTTTAGATACAGTCTGTTCTGTTCTTCAAATTCCCTGTGGAATCATTGAACAAAAAATCCGCTGAATCTGCTGTTCTTCATAATTTTAGATACAGAAATGTTCTCTTCTTCAAATTCTGCACAAATGTTCTCTTCTTCAAATTCTGCACAAATGTTCTTCAGGTTACACCAAGGAAAGAAGCAGCATTGTAGTGGTAGGCCTCAGCATCCACACAGCCCCTGTCGAAATGCGGGAGAAGCTCGCAATACCCGAGGCCGAATGGCCTCGGGCCATTGCCGAGCTGTGCAGCTTGAACCACATCGAGGAGGCTGCCGTTCTCAGCACCTGTAACCGAATGGAAATCTACGTCGTCGCACTTTCTAGGCACCGTGGGGTTAAAGAAGTCACTGAATGGATGTCCAAGGTAATCAAATCAACCGCTCGATGTTCTTGGAATTTACTGTCTCGTAAATACTATTTACGTTGATTTGAAAATTGATTGTGTCAAATACTTTTACAGACAAGCGGAATCCCCGCTTCGGAAATCTGCGAGCATCGGTTTCTTCTCTACGATAAAGATGCGACACAGCACATTTTCGAAGTATCCGCAGGGCTCGATTCGTTGGTTTTAGGCGAGGGTCAGATTCTTGCGCAAGTGAAGCAAGTCGTCAAAGTCGGGCAAGGCGTCGTGGGGTTCGGACGCAACATAAGCGGGCTGTTCAAGCACGCGATATCCGTCGGGAAACGGGTTAGAACCGAGACAAACATTGCCGCCGGTGCAGTTTCGGTGAGTTCGGCTGCCGTCGAGCTGGCTTTGATGAAGCTTCCGGAAGCCTCCCATGCGACTGCTCGGATGTTAGTCGTCGGCGCCGGAAAAATGGGGAAGCTCGTCATCAAACACCTGGCGGCAAAAGGCTGCACGCAGATGGTCGTTGTGAACCGGAGCGAAGACAGAGTCGCCGCCCTTCGCGGTGAGATAAAAGATGTTGACATAATCTACAAGCCCCTCGCCGAAATGCTGAGTTCCGCCGCCGAAGCGGACGTCGTCTTCACTAGCACCGCATCCGAATCCCCGCTGTTTCTAAAAGAGCACGTCGTTAATCTCCCGGCCGTGGGCGCCACCGTCGGGGGTCAGCGTCTGTTCGTGGACATCTCGGTTCCGAGAAACGTTGGCGCTTGTGTCAATGAGCTCGAGACGGTGAGAGTCTACAACGTTGATGATCTCAAGGAGGTGGTGGCGGCGAACAAGGAGGACCGGCTTCGGAAAGCCATGGAAGCTCAGGAAATCATCGCCGAAGAATCGAAGCAGTTTGAAGCCTGGCGGGACTCGCTGGAGACCGTTCCGACGATTAAAAAATTGCGGGCGTATGCGGAGAGGATCCGCGCTGCCGAGCTCGAAAAATGCTTGTCGAAAATGGGCGACGAGATTCCAAAGAAGACCCAGAAGGCTGTCGACGATTTGAGCCGAGGGATCGTAAATAAATTGCTGCATGGCCCGATGCAGCACCTTCGGTGCGATGGGAGCGACAGCCGGACGTTGGAGGAGACGCTTGAGAATATGCACGCGCTCAATCGGATGTTCAGCCTCGAGACGGAGATATCGGTGCTGGAACAGAAGATTCGGGCAAAAGTCGAGCAAGCGCAGAAATGACGAGGTTTGTGATCGATCACAGTTGTCTGAATAATAGTCGGTAAGAGAAAGTGCGATCGATCGATCGATCGGAGTAATTTTTCTATATATCAATACTTTGATTTAATTGTGTTGATGAAACTAGTGGTGCTGGAAATCCAGGCTGATGGATATATACATACATATATATATATATTTATGTATATTTATCTATCTTGATCTTGATGTTGATCGTCATTTTTCATTACATATGTGTAATGAAATTGCAAAGATGGTGCATCATTTCTGATAGTGTCTTTGTCGTATGTATTTACAATTAAATACATATTGTGTATGTAATATATACATACATACATACATAATGTTTGTGTATATATACACATTGTGTTCGATGATGTCACTAGTATCTTGATGTTGCTGCATATATATAGGGCATCATCCCACACGATGTATACATACACACCATTATGATACTGATTATTCATTTTTAAAATTTTTTTTTTATTATTCACTGTTTTTTTCTTTAAAAATATTAATTAAATTAAGTATCTACTTTTTCATTATTTATATTGCATTGAAATTAATTTTATATTAAAAAACTATAGTAATATATATTTATATCTCATTAAATAACTATTTAAATTTAAAGTTTTATTATTCAAAATTTAAATCTGTTTGATTATAATTTGAATTTGAAATTTTTTTATTTAATTTTTATTTTAATTTAATGTTCCATTTGTCTCATATATAATGGAACATTTGATTTTCAAAATAAAAATTTGAGTAGTTAGTATTAAGTAAAATAAATTGAGAATTGAATGAAGTGATAAGAGAATAAAGTATACTTATGTTTTTATTTAAATGATGTGATAAAATAAAATTTAATTAAATATTTTTTATTTTAAAAATAATGCACAGTATAAGAGATGATCAAAATGGAAAATAGTGCAAGTTATACGAGACGAATTGAATATATTTTAAAAAATAATACTCCTTATGTCCGGTCAAATTATATAGATTTGTTTAGGGGTTGAGGTTAAAAAAATAATAATATTTTAATATTAAAATGAAATAAGTAAAAAATAAGTAGGAGTATTATTATAAATTTATTAAATAATTGATAAAAAGTAATAGAGTAAGTGGAAAAAATAATAATAAAGTAATTATTATTTATTAAAACAAAAATAATAAAATTTTAAGTGAATAAATTTTTTTATATTGTAAATATATTGTACAAAAATTTAACAAAATATATATATATATAAAAAAAAAAAAAAAAACATAATTTTGACAAACGAACAGAATATTTATTTTAAATAATAATAAATTTCAATTTTAAACAAATAAACAAAACAAAGCCTATATTGACAGTCACACCCACGAGCTCTTCTAAGCTAAAAATTAACTTGTGAAGCTACCAACTATTATGGCTGCACGAGAAATAGGGTTTGATTCTTCGCAACTCCTGGACCTTCAACACCAAGCATCATCCTCTTCTACTCACGGTGTGGATACGTCCAGGCGTCCAGGTCCAGGGTGCTTCCAAGAAGAACTGACTACCATAGAAAACTTTGGAAATTGGATCTTTTGATTGGCCCGCAATAGGATTTGTCTTCTTTTCATCTCTCTTTTTCATTCGTTGCATCCACCCTTCAATTTTTATTTAGATTTTTATTATTGAGGTTTATTTACCAATTTGTTTTTTTTTTTTTTTAATGGTTTTTATTATATGTTTTTATTATTCAGATTTTTTTTTTCAAAAATATTAAATTAAATAATTATTTTTTATATTATATTAGAAATGTATTTTACATTTAAAATATCATATAAATATCTATTTATATCACATTAAATAATTATTCAAATTCAATTTTTTACTATTCATAAATCTAAATCCAAAAACTCAAAACCCAAAAACAAACATACATTATTTTGGATAATTGTATGTTTTTTCACCAATTTCAAAAAATATATTTCTCCAAAAATTTTAATATATTCTATACATTCATTATTTTTATATTATTTACACAAATTTATATATTTTATAACAAAAATTATCTCTTCAAACTACTTCACTAAAAATAAACGCAACATGTCTTTTATATTAAATATAAAAAATGATGTCCATAATATAATATTATGTATTAAATTATTAATTATTTATAAATTAATAAAATATATATTATATATATATTAATATATATTATCTTTTTTTAATATTTATAAATAATTATATCACTCTAAAAAATATTGAGTGAATAAACAAATTATTTCACAATGAAATACATATTGAGTATCATTTCTATTTGTGTTTCTCTGAAAAATTATTCTTATTGCCTTATTTATTAAAAAATTATACCGTCTTTTATATTTTAAACACAAGTAATTTTTTTTAAAATATATTACTCTAATCGTCCGTCCCTAATGTTACATTTACATTTTACGTTATCATATTAAATATTAAAAATATTTTATATTTGAATAATTTTTTTGTACAAATGTCATTATATTAGTATTATAAAACACTAATGTAAATATGTTTGTAATTTTTTTTTTAATTTGTACTACATTTTGATATAATAGTTAATATTCAAAGATTAACACGTAAAAAATAAATGAGACCCTTAAAGCCGGATGGAGATTCTATCATTTTTTTATTTACTACGCAAGGTAATGACAAAGAGTAACAAAAAAGTATCAATTAAAATGTTATACTCCTTCTATCCCGCTTAATTTGTTTACTTTTTTTTATTTTTGTCTGTTCCATATAATTTGTCATTTTGTTTTGAAATTATAATAATATATTTTAATCACATTTTAAAATTCATAATTTATAATTTTTTATTTTAATTAAACTATCTTGTCATCTTAATTTTAATATACTATAATTATTTTCACTGATACACTTATTAATTACTTACTAATTTCACAATACCTAAAATTTTGTGCCTAAACATGGAACAAATTAGCTGGGAATGAGGGAGTATATTAAAACTTGAGCCGAAAAATTTTAAGCAAAAATTTTAGAGACGAAAGTGTGTTTGTTTGGGGGATTTTCCCCAAATTCTACTATTCATTCAAGTTTTTTCTTCAAACATATCAAATCAAAAACTTATTTTTTATTTTTATATTAGATTAAAAATTAATTTTACATTCAAGACACTACATCAACACTTATTTATATCACATCATATAACTATTACAATTCAAATTTTTTACTATTTAAATCCCAACTGAAAATCCAAACACCAAAACAAACACACCTCTGCTACTTTCTCTATAAAAATGTGCATTTGCTTTATTATTTTTATTTGGATAAATTGTAAATATATATATGTATTTTATTATAAATGTATATAAGATTTTATTTTATTTTGTGAACTTTTTTTTTATTATATTAAAATAAATACAAAATATTGTTTTATCTAAATATTGATATTGTTCCTAAAGACATGCTTAATTATTTAAATATTATACAAATTAATTAGATGAAATGTCTCAAATATAACTATTTGAATACAATATGCTTATATTTCAACCAAAATTAACAACATGCCATTACTTTATTTGATAATCGGGTTGTTTGGGGTTTGGATTTTAATTTGAGATTTGAATAGTAAAAATTTTGAATTTGAATAGTTACATAATGTTATATAAATAGGTATTGATTTAATATTTTGAATGTAAAAATATATTTTCTTCATTCCGCCACAGATAATTCATTTTATTTTTTTGTCCGTTTCATAAAAAATGACCCTTTTAGTAAATTTATTCGTTTTAAACATACTTAACAAATATAAATAAATTTAATTAAATTTCTAACATCTTGTTAAGGACTTACTCAAAATTTCTTTTTTTTTTTCAATAAAAAAAATATTTTTATCTATATGCAAAACTTCTCATTTTCTAAAAAATTAATTTTAAGTTAATTATAAATAAATAAATATACTTTTTTATTTATTTGTTTCACATAAAATTTTGATTATTATCTACAAAATAATATTCATATTATATATATTTTATTGAGATATAATGATAAAAATATTTAAAATACATACACCACTACTCATATAAAAAATAATAAACTAATATCATGTCCGGTAAGGGATGGCTTGGTGATGTAGGGGTTGGACTTGTGACCGTCGAGTAGCGGCTGCGGGTTCTCACGTCATCCAAAATGAGCAGAATCTTTATTCTTTTTCTTTTAAAAAAAAAAAACCCTTATTATCGCATGGAGTATATATGCATCTAAGGGCCGTTTGGGTTGATTTAAAAAATAAGTAGAAGCAGTTCGATTTTATATTTGGATAAATCATTATAAAAATAGCTTTTCGTAAAAACTGTTTGGACGTTATATAGTTGAAAGTGCTTTTAAACTGTTAAAATTACTTAAATGGACATGCGGTTAATATAATACTAATATTTTTCTATAACACTTTTATAATTTAATTTAAATTTTATAAATTATATTTAAAGATTTTAAATTAAAGTATAAAAATGTACTTTTAAATTTTGATTATTTATATTTTAAAATTTTAATTTAAGGATAATATATCAATTAAACATAAAATTACAGTATAATATTATATAATTTGTATTTTATAATTTATTTTAAAATTTTATAAATTATATTTAGTAATTGAAGTATAATTAAAAAATTTATATACTCCTATTTACATTCGGTATTTAAATTTTAAATTTTAAATCTTAATCCAAATATAGTACATAAATTAAAAATAATAAATTAATTATATTTTTTAATTTTGTATTAAAATATAATATATAAGTTATTTATTTTTATATTATATTATATTATTGTATTTATTATTATTATTATTATTATTATTATTATTATTATTATTATTAAGAATAAAATAGTAATTTTAATTGAAAAGTACTTCTATTTATTTCAAAAGCTACCCCAATGTGCTTCTGAAGAAAGCACTTTTTACCTTTAAAAGCTGCTTCTGCTTTTGGATAAAAACAAATGTAAACAAGTGTAAACTACTTGTTTTTAGAAGTAGAAGCCAAAAGTTCCTGTCAAAAGCCAATCCAGACGAGGGATACATGTACTTGGGTTTTCATGATTGCCACGTCGTGATATGACTTGTAATAATAAATTGCCACTTTACACACACGCCCTATTCTAGACTGTGTTTCTTTAATTTGTTTTATTATTATTATTATTATTATTATTATTATTATTTGATCGGATTATTATTATTATTAATTATTGGATATGTTTTTTTTTTTTTTTTATGAGTTTGAAAAAAATTTGGTTTGGATTTGAT